GCATTAGTAATTATATGTTTGAAATGCATTTCTGCTTTCGATTGGAATCCAGCTATCGTATCTTTCCGTGTTTGGTATATATGTGACTCCGAAAAACTCAAAATTTAAGCGGGAATGAACCAAACATTCAAGGTTATCATTTGTAATTCCCAGCGACTGGAGAAGAGCAGAGTAAGATGCATAAAATAAAATACGCATTTTAAGCAGAATAGAAATGCAGTTATGCGTAACCGACGGTCCGACCGTTGCGTCCGACGGTGTCCACTGTATGCTTCACAGCAAGATGAGAGCAGGCACGGTGACTTGCGAGCGAGTTAGTTTATAGTGACGGCGGACTTGCACAGCATCTATCGCACTCCCCTCCTCTCCCACCCGAGACCGGTGTCAAGACATAGGAGTGCTGGAGGCGGGTGAGGGTCCAGGTGGCTGACACGACCGCACCAGCACCTAGGCGTACCACCACACCCTCTGGTCCACAACAAGCACTTGACCATGATTCTAACCAACAACAAAAATGGGTCAGAAAGGAGAGAGGATGATACAGGTCACCGAGCAACCGTGCACACGGCCTGTATGCCCAGCTGGAGCACAAGCACATCCACCAACAGGGAATCAGGTATCAGAGAACTGCCAGCACACACCAGGTTGCGAGAGCCATGGTTTGCTGAATCATAGCACAGCAGACGCACACAGTCCTTAAAGTCCAGAAGAGTGAGAGGCAGCCCTGCATTTAGCCTGGATCATCACCCTTCAAAGGCCTGGTAACCAGCCAGTCATCGACTAAGAGGCCCTATCCACATACACGCACTCCTCACCTGTGTGTGAGTGCAAGAGTTCACGTTAAGAAGGAGCCGTTGCAGCATGACTCGCAGTCCGCCACTCCACACAAACACACAAAACCGGGCAGACTGCATGGGATTGAGTTGAGACGTCAGTCGGTAAGCCTCCAAGCCACGACACCTGGCGCACCGTGATAGCCCCAGGCTCGGATCGCACATGCGGCAGGGGAGTCACGTAGAAAAGAAACCGAAAAGCACATTCCCACTTACGTTAGAGTTGTCAATTGCGTGCTTGAGTTGTGTGGTGATGGGTGATGTTGATGTGTTGTGTAGGTGCTGGTGGCAGGTGTGATGGTGTGGTATAACTGGTGGAGGTCCACAGTAGGTGTTCATGAATGAGCATGTGGCCTAGCAGGCCCATGCGGGACAATGAGGCAGTTCAGGTGATGGCGTATGGTGTGTGTTGGGGCTCCAGACACGGTTTTCAAGTTTCACAGAATCACCGACTCCCTTTGCGCATATGTAGGTGGACGATGTCGACAAAAGACTTGAAGATTTCAGCGGGTATATCGTCCTCTCCGGGTGCCTTATTGTTGCGTAGCTTTCGTATGGCATTGACGACTTCTCCTTCAGAGGGGGAGTCGCATGGCACTGCATAGATTGGAGAGGGAAGAGACCCAACTGCAGAGCAGAGCAAGGACAAGGTGGGTTGGGTATCGATGCTGATATGGTGCTCACGCCAGCGCTCGACTCAAGCCGGGTTGTCAGCCATAAAGCTGCCATTCACGTCACGAACAGAGTCACTCCGTGTACAGGGCTTACCACTAACTTAGCGGGCAAGTTGGTAGAGTTTTAGTGTCGTAAACGTTCGAGACCAGTCCCATGGAGGTCGCTATTCGAGCTCAGTATTACTTACAGTGATCCCTGGCCGACTTTGCCGTCATCTTTCGAAGTTGGCGAAAGCAGTCATCGTTAGGGGACCTAGCTAGAGCCGTCTGAGCAGACAACTACAGGGTTCTTCCACTGACCCAGTCACAGCGGCATCGCTGGGTGTATCCAAGGATTTTCTCAGCTGCACCATAGACTGACTTTTTTAGTGACAACCACTGGTTACTGCCTTCTCCGTCGGTTCGGGTCGTAAAACAGGTCTGGATTTCTCTGATCAGGGCCTCGGCAATGCTGGTTTGCCGGATATTAGCAACATCGAGGCGTCTAGCACGTGGCATTTTTGGCGCGAACGAGAGATAAACTCTAAGCGTGTAGGAATGAGGACATGGTCCGTCCAATGGGCGTTACCAGTCTCGGCACCACGCATCGATCTGCTATCGTGAACCCAGCTGCGGAACCTTGAGCTGACCAGTATGTAGTCAATCTGACTGGCCGTATAACCGCCGTTTGAATACCAGGTCAGCAGACGTTTTTTGCGATGCTGGAAACATGTATTGGTGACAAGCAGTCGGTTTCGATCAGCGAAGTTCAGCAATCTCTCACCATTTCCACATCGGAAACCAAGCCCAAAGCGGCCCAGAATATGACTGGCTGTGGGGTCGTCAGGTCAAGTTCGACCATTCCAATCCTCCGCAGCAATCAGCAGATCGCGGTGACAGAGCCTTCAAAATAACGCTTTCAACTGCGAGTAAAACGCCTCTTTATCGCGCTGTCCGACAGCCGAAGTTGGTGCGTACACAGAGACGACTGAGATGTTCGTGAAGTGGCACTTCAGTCGCACGTAGGCCATCTTGTAATTGACTGGTTACCAAGCAAGTAACGTGAGGTCCGTTTATTGCGGGAGGACGATAGCTAAATCGTATCTACCAGAAGACTCGCGCGGGCCGCTGTGATGCAGGGTGAAGTGTGATTCGACTCCAGGGATCTTTATTTCTCGAGAGCCTGAGTCAGGAAGTCGAACTTCAGGCAGACAATAGACATCCACGTTGTGCTGATTAAGGCTGTGCGCGGTCAGACTTGGGGTACCGAGGTCCAGGAACGTTTGCAAATTCCAGTATCCAATACCAAGAATCCGCCCCTGACTGAGTAGTCCGACTCGCATACTATTCGTCCGCATCCTTGGATCAGGGTTGCGGAGCGCGTCGGTTCCCACGGACGCCGTAGCACGCGTCGTAATACTGTAGTCGGACATATTTCATGAAGTTTCTTGGGACGTTCGGATACAGGCGGATCTTCAAAAGCCGCTCAGATTATTTGTTCGAGGTTGTTACCTCTAGCGCTTTGGCTCAAAAGTTTAGCCACAGGGCAGCAGTGTCAAGCAAATGGCGGTTTACGGTCGCCATGTCACAATGCCGTCATCAGACGGGAACAGTGGGTGGCGTTGGTAGCTCTAGAACTGGCGCGCTACAAGGTGGGCATTATTGTACTCAGCGGGACCTGGTTTTTCAAACAAGGCCAACTGGAGGAGTGCCTGCTACAACTTCTTCAGGAGCGGCGGCCGCAAGCAAAGCGACGAGACGCGGGCGTTGCCTTTACCATATAAAACAACATCGTGGGACGACTGCCCTGTCTGTGGCAGCGCATCAACGATCGACTGATGAGCCTCCGCCTGCCTCTTCGAGGATCCGGGAGATGTGGCACAATGGAAAGGTCCCTAAGGACTTTAAAGACGCAATCATCGTCCACCTACATATGCGCAAAGGGAGTCGGTGATTCTGTGAAACTTGAAAACCGTGTCTGGAGCCCCAACACACACCATACGCCATCACCTGAACTGCCTCATTGTCCCGCATGGGCCTGCTAGGCCACATGCTCATTCATGAACACCTACTGTGGACCTCCACCAGTTATACCACACCATCACACCTGCCACCAGCACCTACACAACACATCAACATCACCCATCACCACACAACTCAAGCACGCAATTGACAACTCTAACGTAAGTGGGAATGTGCTTTTCGGTTTCTTTTCTACGTGACTCCCCTGCCGCATGTGCGATCCGAGCCTGGGGCTATCACGGTGCGCCAGGTGTCGTGGCTTGGAGGCTTACCGACTGACGTCTCAACTCAATCCCATGCAGTCTGCCCGGTTTTGTGTGTTTGTGTGGAGTGGCGGACTGCGAGTCATGCTGCAACGGCTCCTTCTTAACGTGAACTCTTGCACTCACACACAGGTGAGGAGTGCGTGTATGTGGATAGGGCCTCTTAGTCGATGACTGGCTGGTTACCAGGCCTTTGAAGGGTGATGATCCAGGCTAAATGCAGGGCTGCCTCTCACTCTTCTGGACTTTAAGGACTGTGTGCGTCTGCTGTGCTATGATTCAGCAAACCATGGCTCTCGCAACCTGGTGTGTGCTGGCAGTTCTCTGATACCTGATTCCCTGTTGGTGGATGTGCTTGTGCTCCAGCTGGGCATACAGGCCGTGTGCACGGTTGCTCGGTGACCTGTATCATCCTCTCTCCTTTCTGACCCATTTTTGTTGTTGGTTAGAATCATGGTCAAGTGCTTGTTGTGGACCAGAGGGTGTGGTGGTACGCCTAGGTGCTGGTGCGGTCGTGTCAGCCACCTGGACCCTCACCCGCCTCCAGCACTCCTATGTCTTGACACCGGTCTCGGGTGGGAGAGGAGGGGAGTGCGATAGATGCTGTGCAAGTCCGCCGTCACTATAAACTAACTCGCTCGCAAGTCACCGTGCCTGCTCTCATCTTGCTGTGAAGCATACAGTGGACACCGTCGGACGCAACGGTCGAGATGTCAGTCCTTGGTAGACATCTAATGTCGGCTGACGGCAAACTAAAAAACCACGCCCGTGGTAAAAGTAGCTTTTAAAGTTGTTGTGAAGGGATGCTTTGTTTGACCTCCACGAGTCGGCTACCCAAACAAAAAAAAATAGGATTGAGGACTTATACGCGTCTGCGGTGGTCGACGGTCTGCAATCAGGAACGCGCACAATGGTTTTTGGTTGTATGTTCTAGCTGGGGCTACCTAAAATTCGCTTCTCAGAAATCAGACGACCAGAGCCAAAACCAGTCCAAAGCATTTTTTGAACAAAAAAACTGAAGGATTTTAGCGTCGAGTGTATTTACCCACTCTCTTTTTTCAAGATCCTCTTTCAAAGGTAAAGAAAGATGAAAATAAAAAAATCAAAGGCGTTCAGTCCAGTAATCAAAATGCAGGAGTCAGTCTACTTTTGAGCAACACAAAACCATCAGACAGAGGGAGGATGGAAAAGGGGTGGGGAGAGAGAGGAGACAACTGGCCATGGTGCAACTAGCTGGGCAGGGAGATGCGGCAGCAAGTGCCCGCATGAAGGTCCGGCAGGGAAAATAGGAGGCCTTTGTCACGTTGCGAAAGGCTGACGGTCACGTTACCGGTTGCATGCCAGATATGACACAGGAGAAAGCCCGTAGCCAAAGCACACGTAGTCTGACTCTGCCAGAAGGGCGATGCATGTTGCTGATTGGTGGTCGCTGTGGAGCCCAGCGGCGGTGGTAAGAGGCTAAGGAAAAGGGTGAGACAGAGACCGTCAGTGGGTTCAACGGCCTTTCGTGGAGTCCCGGAAAACTCAACTCCGATGACGGCTGTTGAATTTGGAGACCAAAATAAGTGATTTGGAGAGGTAGTGGGCCGTGTAGTGACCTCGTAGCCAAGTCCTGAGAATATCGTCTATAAGAAAGGCAAGAGCAGTGAGAATAGTGGCGCAGACTGATTTTCGGAAATATCTTAGTGGTCCTCAAAAGAAATGTGATCGGCGCCGTGTATGGAAAAGTGAGCATAAAGGCAAGACAAGATGATCGTGCCGATTGGTTCAAGGCTTGGGTGAATTTTTTAAAAATGGGAATACCGAAAAACACTTCGACAGGTGCAAGCGTGATGAATGAAGAAAGATCCATAAGTACCTGGCTTCCTTACTTCCCTTCTTGATATTAAATCCCAAAAATAAAAGGAAATCCAAAATTATTTAAGAATCAAAATCAGGCATATTTATAGTTGTAGCAAGTAAAAGTACCGAGAAAACCGTCTGATATTGGTTAAAAGAGAAACTGAAGGGTATGGGGAAGATGACCAGACTATCAGACCCTTTACCACTACAAAAGAGCCCTCCCATATGACCAAATTTTTCTGTGCCGATCGCTTTCCATCTTTGCAGAAGGAAGGCCACCAGGATCATGGCAGCAAGCCTTAATAAGCTTACAACGGTTGTTTTCATACTGCGCATTATTACTTCTTGCATGAATACCAACGTACGGCAGAAGTCCAGTAGATTGGCATAAGTGACTTATTACTTTCGCTCTTTACTGTTCAGATTCTCCTTTTTTACATACACACAGTATGTACTCCTAGAAATTAATCCTATTAATTTGGCATATGTACATTTCCGGGTTCTTCGGCAATCTGTGGGAATAGAACAGACGTCGCCTACTTTGATCTTGACTGGGGAGCACAATAATCCTCATGCTTGAATGTTGGTCTACCCGTTACAACGCACTGAGAAAGTCAAACTGCCTTTTTAGCTGCATGACAGACGGGCAGTTTCGCCGATAATTTTCCGGTTCCATGGACGGAGCAGTTCTGTACTGTCGTTCGAAAGGAAGATTAGTTTAACGTGACTTTAAAGATAGCTTTACCTCTTTCATTTTTCAAAATAGTACGGGCATGTGTCTGAAAAGTCATTTAAAAGTTTCGAGTTAGCGTTCGCCTGTGGTTTACTCAAGAATATGAAGGCAACAGGAGCTTCCAGCTATAATGTATTATATGTATTAGCCTTGCTGGTAGCGTCCTACGCATTCAGCTTCTAAAATGAAAGTACGAAATTAGTTGCGAATGCTACTACTGGGCAGATTAATTCGGCAAGGAACTTCTGGGGTCCTAGGCTTGGAACACAAGAAGGAGATGCAGTAACAACAGACACTCGGGTATTTCTAACTTTCTACGAAGGTTCGTCTCTGTTTCTGTCGAAATTCTACTTCGTAGCTATAGCTCAATACCCATAGCCAACCAAAGATCGGAAACTGGTAATTATTGTCATCAGTCTATACTCGACCTTTATTACAGGCACAGGGACGACGCAATGTCAGGACAGGTGGCAGTATATATGCTAGGAAATGCAATCGTAAAACGCTTACCTTGAGAAACCGTAGAATAGCCTGCTTGATCGTTTTGTGATTGACACGAATCAGGGGAAAACGTGAGTCGGTGTTCGTTGTGATAACATAGTGGGCGTTTGTAGTCGCAGCAATGGTGGACTCGGAAGGGGAAGCGGCGGTGGCAGTCTGTGGTGCCTGATGCCGCACCTCGACTAGAAGGCGCAGGAATACGCCTGTCAAGGGATTGTCTGGGTCTACAGGGAGGATGCTGGGCGGCGGCAAGTCTAGGCGACTGATACAAGCCTGTGACATGCTGGCCTGACTGATGAGGCGCATGATGGGCGCTCGCAGACGCAGACTATGGCTGTCATCAAGTTGCAGGCCCTTTACGTGTTTCAGCTCGGCCTCCTCAATTTTGCCGAAAGGAATCCATGCGGCCTGGAGTGATTCTTTGTCGGCCGCCTTCTTAAGAGTCCCTATGATGGAGAAGTGAATGCAGGAAGATGAGTACCAAAAGAAGCTCGGCCCCGCTACACACTAACCATCGCGTAGGCACGAAGGGGGTCTTTCTGTTGGCTTACCACGTTCTATTGGCCCCCTAGAAATCTCGGCACTGTCTGGCTATTGTTGCCCTGAGTTAATTGTTCCAGTGCCCAAAGGCCAGCCAGACTAATTTGTCTTGACCCAATTGTGAAAATAGAGTTCTCTGACCAAACAGATTAAGTGACTGACAACCAGTAACGGACTTCCGATATACCTGCATTGACCTCATTAAAACCTATTCAAGACCAGTACTATTGTCAGACAGCGTTTCTAATGAACGATACAAACACTTGGGGATTCCGATGGGAAAAGTCCGTATCCTTCTTTTTTTCTTCTACTTCCAATTCTTCTTCTTCCGAATCGAACCGAAAAACGCCAATTTAGTCCTTCGGTGCGACGCCCGGCTGCCGATAGTTGCCGTTCCGTCTTTGCGCCGCCGACGAAAGTTGACGCTCATAAGTTCTGCTGACAGAGACAATGGGTGCTGAAATGGACATTCATAGCGTATTTGCTGTCGGCAGCGAGCCAGAGCTTAATACCAAATCGGTAATGATTCCTTATTGTTCGATGCTGTGACGTTCCCTGTTAGGACTACAAACTCTGGCCTGAACGCAAGACACGATGAGCGTATTCCCTCCTGTAACCATGTCAGATCGATGAACACCATTTCCATGCGACTTAACTAATGGCGATGACAACCAGCGGAGCGTGGGCCCGTGACTTATCTGGCAGAGTGATGGACTTGGGATAAAATCCCCCATGGGTTAGGTGTGTGACCGGGTGACGACAACAGAGAGGTCGGGGATCCGCACTTTAGTCCCCCTCGTCTTCGTCGGTAGTACTTCTCGATTATTTATCGCTTGCGGGCAAACAACCGCCCATAACAACTGTGGACTGCAACTCTGTTGCAAATGAGAACTCTAATTTTCCGATTTCACATTCACATCAGGTATGTGAACGTCAGTCTTAAATAACTATTGATATCATCTTCACCGAAAATGCCCGCTGGCTTATTCCGCATGCCAAATGCACGCATGAGCTGGGGAACGGAAGCCGGAAAAGGTGAGTGAACAAATTCACTGAAATCTTCGAAATCTGAATCAGCAGAGCTCGTATGCATGTTTTAGTCGACTTTGCAGCCTAGATCAGCGTGGTCGTTAAAAACCTTGATAACCGCCGCCCATTACCAAAAAATCGACCATGAAATGCGGTCCTTAATGACTGTCAACTGTAATCTTTAAGTAATTCAGCCTTTGTAGACTTCTGTGACCCAATTTGATATTTGTTTGGTTTGTCCTCAAATAGAAAGGACTTAAGTGCCTCGGAGATTGTAAGAAAGTGTTTGCCCTAGATCTGAATAAAGTGACTATAGGGAGTAACTTACAAATTCAACAAGTCTCGTAAGTCTGCAATTACGACGTCATCAGAACAACAATGAGGCAGCAGAAAGCGTTGCTTTTTTCCAATAGACATATAAACAGGAACCAACATACACATAGGAAAAAGAGTCTGCGCACTAGAGAGGGATGTAAACTAGGCCAAAACTTCTCACCTCCAACAACATCACCAATAAAAACGAAGCGGATCCAGTTTGTTTGACTGGTTTCCACAAGTATCAATCCAGAGGGCTCGAAAATCAGTCCTGATTCCTCCAGGAATTCACGACGAACGGCGGTCTAAAATTAGCAAAGTTTACATGTAAGACAGGAATGTAAGAGGGCGAAGACGTCTGTCATGCTTAGACCACATGCGAGAGTATACTTTTCATGGCAACGTAAAGAGGTTTGTCGATTCTGCACATTATCATAAGGTAAACATTACTTCGGGTTTGTAACTCTAGGTAACAAAGGTGAATTACCAAAAGATCCTCATGACGCTCTACGTGGCCGGCCGGTAGGTACCAGCTACCGCGGCAGGCAGCTTTAGCCTCCTGAACCAGGACAACGCTGCCTCCTGCCAAAGCGATACCCACCACAACAATTGAATAGTTGGAATTGACAACAGGGACAAACTCTGCAAGCAAAAGGACAGGTGATGGCTTAAGAGGAAGGGCCATACTTCAAGAAGACTGCCAAAAAAACGGGTTTTTACTCTATTTTTGCACAAGCACAGTCAAGATGCACTTCGCCTGCTGAGATATCGTATTTTGATTCAAATTAATCCAAAGTCGTGTTTTACGCTGCTTGTGTCAATTGGAACCTTTTTTTACTAAACAAGCAGAAGAGTGAAGTATGCATCGGAAAGTTAAAAGGCTGAAAACTCGGAGCATATCGCATAGAAAAAATCCTACAAACTCCCTCAAATTAGAGGTAGCGAAAGTCAGAGTTTACTAAAAAAAAGGTTTTGATTTTAAAAATGAAGACTCAATTGTATCGGCTGCGGTCAGGGATCTGACATACCCAGTAATCTAATTATGGTAAACTATGAGAAGGCCAAAAATACACGCGACTGGAAATGTTCAAAGCGTGCCGAAAATAAAGCGCTAACCTTCCGAATATGCAAATACAACAGTATTGACAATCCTTCGTGCGGAATGACGCTTTGTTAACGTGCGTATGGCCACACAACCGAAGTTGAAAGAAATATCCCTCATTTCGGTGAATCAAAAACAGCACTTTGAAGCACCATACTCACCGTACAATTTGAGGGCTTAAGTCAGCTCACTTGATACGTCAGAATAGGAAGTCGACCAAACAGCAATAACTTAGTAAAAGGAGCCTGATAAATAGATTAATTCGCTAATTTGGAGAACACGAACGCAAGGAATCTGTAGATGCAGCAACCGATGTTGCTGTGGGTTTCCAGGGTGCCCAAGGTCTGCGCTCACATGTATGCTAACAAAGGCACGAGGAAACTAAGAGAATAACGAATTAGTGCGTTCATGGTGGCTGAGAGTTACCGCACGTGTTCCTCGATGGTAGAGAATAAACAGCATATATAAATGGAAGTGCGCACGGAAGATGATGGTGAAGGCCACCTTATACGTAAACGCAGTGTTTTTATATCATAACATTCCAGGCCTTGACGGCAGAGGGCGCTCTTTAGTGTGGGCGCCTAAACAGTGGGTCACCAAGTGGGTTATCCGGGCGGGAGCCCAAAGAGGAAGGACTGCAATCCATGCCTACTACAAAGAATATTCGCATTGGCGATGACGGTTTCTACAGCAGAGGCGCCAAGAACCCTGTAACAGACAAGTTGCATTGTCCTGTGTTTGTTTGCGCATTGAGACAAAACGCTTGCAAAAATTGGCTGCGACTAGACAGGGAGTCCAACATTTGGACGAGAAAGTGGTTCGTCTAAAGTAAAAACGCTTTGGGAGACGGGGTGGAGAACGTCTAAATGATAAGCTTGACTCTAGAGTCTCCGTTGTGTTGTGCTCTGACTGGGAATGGCATGCGGCTCCGATATATTCGCCAATGTACTGGACTGGGCCGATAGCCCTCAAGTATGTATAAGAGACAAGAGCACGGTGGTAAACAAGAGAAATTACTAACAGTAGTCCGTTCGGACGACCAGAAGTCAGCGTACGAAAAAAAGTCAAGAGATTTGCAGTTAACATAAAATCAGGGGGATACATGCTGTGGCGAATTGGTGGTGCTTTTAATTCAACTTCAGTTTGTAAAACAGTCACTTCCGGGTGGACGATAATAAATACCGGGGTCAACAAAAACGGTACGCGAATCGAAAACACCTCTCTTCGCTCAATGGTAGAGCTGGGCAAGATACCCGATTAGCATTACAATCTATGGAAAGCTGCAAAGGCAAGGGTATCACGTAGTTCAAGGCCTGCCACGAAAGCACCGAAGAAACTTCGGTCTAAATGCACAACAGGGAAAAGTCCCACGTGAGTAGTCATGATTAAATGGGCTTACATAAAAATAAAGTTTTTTTTAGAGAATGTGAACGCATCCGCTTAATTTGACTACAGATACCCGGATCCATTGTCCGAGTCCAGGGAGAAAGTTCGCTGTCGCAAATCCCTGTGCGACAATAGCGATTGGCTGCCGATAACAAGTGCGGATAAAATCTGTCGGAGCGCAACACGAAAGACCAAAAACTGACATAACAAACATAATGTTGGTTCGTTAAAACAAACATGACGAGGTTCATTGTACTAAAAAAACCGAATAATATGATAATTCTAATAGGAATGCGATATCGAGTTAGTCTTTTTAACTGAAATTGCTGAATGGTGATCGTCAATATCGACCGTGTACCGTACATTTCACCAGTTAAGCAGGTCAAATGACAGGCGCATCTTTACTGCTCTATCTAACCTGCTGACGTTACCGTGTAACGTCCCTTGGCACGGACAGAATTGTTTGAATGATGTAACACTTTTTGCAGCGAGGACCTAGGGTGGAGATGGCGTAGTCGGTGAAGATGGCCGGTGTCCCTTCCTGTCTCCTCTGACGATCCCTTCCCCCCCCCCCCCGTCACCGTACCGTAACGTAACGCTTGTATCGCTCTCCTTGCCACATCACCACCTCCCTCGGCCCCTTCCTGCAGTTGCCCACAGCGCTGCGTTCCCAACGGTTTACTAGCTGGCATGTTGGTATCGCTTCTCCACCCAGACAAGTTATTGTACAGATGTAACCCATCATTCCTGTACCATCAACGATTATTATACCCTTTTCCGTGCAATCTCGTTATATTACAGCATATCCCCTACTCGAAACACCTTCTTCTCCTGTGTATGGATGCGTATCAAGAGATTTTGACGGTTCTGTTCAAATCTACCTACGCCAAGATCTCTTGTCAGCGTTTCCTTACCTTGGTGTGTGCTACACTTCACGTCCTCGGCCGCTACAACCGGACGTTCATGAAAGCTGGAAGCCATGAAAAATCCAAGGTTTGAGCAAGCGGCCCAAAATTTCTAAAACGGTGACCGTATTCTAACTTACTTTATGATATTCTCTCTCCCTGAACCTCAGATTTTCGTAGCTATTATATATGCCATTTTCATGTTGACCCAACTGTGAAAAACTCGGCGCCTCGGTGGGATTCGAACCCACGCAGTAAGGGGAAGGCTTTAGCGCAGCCAATGCTCTAACCACTTGAGCTACGAGGCCCCGCCGGACGACGCGAGTTTAATCACATTTGGGTTAAGTTACCCGCCCAACCTACTGCAACGTCCGGAATCCACCAAATCTGATACAGTAAGTTACTGCCCAAGCAGGATTTCCTAAGTAATTCACCTAGAATCCACCAGATGACTACCAGGCTCGAGTAATTCATTGATATTTTGGCAGATTTTGAATAATTCATGTTGACCCAACTGTGATTTGGTGGATTCCAGACGTTGCAGTAGGTTGGGCGGGTAACTTAACCCAAATGTGATTAAACTCGCGTCGTCCGGCGGGGCCTCGTAGCTCAGGTGGTTAGAGCGTTGGCTGCGCTAAAGCCTTCCCCTTACTGCGTGGGTTCGAATCCCACCGAGGCGCCGAGTTTTTCACAGTTGGGTCAACATGAATTATTCAAAATCTGCCAAAATATCAATGAATATGCCATTTTCTCATCAGACGCCTAAAACGTGCACGCAGCTACACTGCTTGTTTTAGTATAACATCGTGTGCGTAAGGGGGTAGCAATCAAACCATCTTATTCAAGGACGATGACTTAACCAGCGAAAATCCAAAAGCCATTTCCCTGAAAGTTCTTGCCGTTTTGACATTTCTGATCGGCAAAAATTCCTGGATGTGGTTAACTTTAAAGAACGTTATCATAATTCTGTCAATCTTTCTATGAACCACATCAAAAACATGCAGGCACTTTTCGCCATGTTATCGTAACCGGTTGCCTAGGAATGCACTTACATTTGATACTTCTTGCTTGACCGAGTTTATTAATGGCCTTCTCTGGGTCGTTAAGTGACTAAAATTATCACACAAACATAATTTTTGCAAAATATTCACTCAAGAATAGTCGTTGAGGCCACTGCAGCTCGCGCGAAATTGTTAGATTACTCGCCTGATAGCCGGCGGAAACATTCCACAAATTTGATAATTTGATAATTTTATTTTATGCCAGTTTACAGGCATTGTCTAGGGAAGAGTTAAACACAAATCCGACCTGCAGTGAAAAAAACTCCCGAGGTAAAGGAATAAAAATATAGTTGATGGTGGTTTTTGTGGTTTTGAGGGTTCAGGAGAAAAAACTGCTGGCGGGATACATTCGACCGTCAAGAAGTGTGGGGGGGGGGTTGCACGGTATCGGAGAATATCGGACGTCAATTCCTTTCATGAAGTTGGGGATAGTCACAGTAGAGGCGTTGAGGAGCACCTGTCGCCGTTGGCCAATGAAACTGTCCATGGTGAGACAGGCCGTAGTGTTCAGAGACCACAGACGCCATCGCTACGGTAGAGTCGATCAGTGGATTCAGCACCCAAAATTTGAGAAAGCTTTTCTGAATGCAAAAATCGAGTAATAGTTCTCTTTAATAAAGGATAATTTTGCAGAGTTTTCACACTCATGGGTAGTTTATTCCAAATAGCAATTGCATTTACAGAAAAGAACCGACGATATTTAACAGTACGTGCCAGAGGCAGAAATAAAAAGACCTCACGGTGACTGTTACGTCGTGGGTGGATATGATGTCTTAAAGAGGTGAGTGGGTTAAATGTGTGATTATATAAGAGTTTAAATAGCAAAAAGAGTCCCTTTTGTAATCTACGGAACCATAAAGGATCAAAGCCCGTAAGCCGGCAACGTTCTTGATAAGACAAATGTCGGTGTTCCGCGGCTAAAATTCTCTTGGTAAAAAAGTGTTGAACGGATTCTATTTTATTCCGCTCAGTAGCACGCATGAGGCTAAATAAAAACGAACCGTTTTTCAGACCAGGTCTAACGTACATTTTGTAAAGACGCATTCTAATGTCCCTAGTTTTGATGTTTCGGAGGATAAATCCGGTCGTTCTACGTGCTTTGGAGACTATCAGGGCACAGTGCTCCAAGAGATAGAGACTCTTGGAGTATGATATGCCCAGATGCTTAATAACCCCAGGCACATTTATGGCGTGACCTTCAATACTTAGTTGAGGATGGCGGTCGTCGCCA